TGTCTAATGTATGTACCAAGTTTGAACAAAATCCATCCAAAAATTCTTGATATTTGATGATTTTTTAGCACTAAAATGGCCACCATTCAGCCATTTTTAATAGGATCGTCAAACCAAAATATCTGTATATCTATGACATGATGTATAATAAATATTTAAAATTTGAACATAATCAGTCACAGCAATTCAGAAATATGGCACTAGAACCACATTTAATAAAACAAAAAGCCCGCCAGTTTACCATTTTGAATCATATCTGAAAACAAAATGATGTGCATCAAGGTCCTATAATGTCCAACGTATATACCAAGTTTGAACAAAATCCATTTGTAGAACAAAAATAGGCCAATGGCCTGTTGCTCAACGGCTATTGTACAAAAGATTAGTGCTGTATATGCCACAACTTTTCGTTTACATTTGTAATTTTGAATGAAATATCGACAAACAACCACACAAAGTTGACAATGGAATAATAAACACATGTATGCCTAACACCAAAGCATTGGAAATAGTGGTTAGTTGAAATTCCATTTTTAACCAAAAATGACAAAAATATTTGCCAAAATAAGATAATTAAAGATTCGGCCATGGGATGAACAAATCTAGTAGATGTCAACACAAGGTACACACACACCAAGTATCAAAGCATTCAGGCTACCGGTTTTGAAAAGGGAAAACTATGATGTCTCGTGGCATCACGATAACTTATTCAAGATGGCGGCAAACACAGGGATTTCGCTGTAGTTTTCCGCGGTTTTCATCTTAAATGGCTTAATGTTGCCCCAACAGATCGCTTGGATGTGAAAGTTTGTTATTTTCTCTCTGATTTGTAGGAAACTGTTTCTCAACATGTCTCTTTATTTAGTTTCAAGTAGTGTTCAAGATGGCTTCCCCAATATAGTAAATATTGGTAGATTAATTGCATTTATCATATTATCACTTGAACGCCAGCTGACTGTGGCCATTCTCAGGCAGACCAGAGAAACTACTTATACATTATCATGCCTAGTGTAACAAAGCAAATCATTCAAGGGAATCCAGACATGTACCAGGCTACGTAAAAACATTCTATGTTTCTACATTGTATCTATTCTATGTCCCCTAATGCAATATAGACTCGCCCAGAGTGGATGCGACCACAAGTCGAC